CTAACGCAATTGAGGCCGTAAGCCTTTGGAAGAATCACACCCGACGTGACTCTTCTTGTGCCTGATGAATTTACAACAAGGAGCTTTCACGCTCGCATGACCAAGTTCGCGCCCGACATCAATGACCTGCAAGCGCTTTGTTGCCTTTGCACCTAGTGACCCCGACATGGCGCCTAACCCGATATTAGAAAACTCTCAAACTGCGTAATTACAAACTATTATCAAATTTGGGTTTCACAAATTTTATAAATTCTTTCTAGAAAATATGGTATCTTAAATCTAATTAATTTGTTCTCATTTTAAGGGTTTTCTATTTGAACTTGTTTCTCCAATAATTTGTTTTGTACTTGTCCTTAGGGTTTCTTGGGAAGCCACATGCACTCACATATTCACAACTATAGACAATTCTAGAAGTCAAAAACACAATTTTATATAAATTACTAATGCATTCATAACACTAGGAATTCACAAACAACATAATATCATAAATAAAGACCATATCATAGACCATAAATACAATTATACCAAAACGATACAACATAAATCAAAAGAAGTAATAGATACATATCACAATCAAGTTTGGATTTAATTTCTCATGCATTCAAATCAAACACAAACAACAAAATTGAGGTTAATCTCACTAACCAATAGATAACCCACACCTGGAGCGAAGTTATTGTGACACCCTCTACCCTACATTCATAATTACATAATAAATAGGAATCATTAAAATATTTCATAAATAAAATTAGAATCTCAAATATTTTACATATAGGATTCACATTCATAAACTCATAAACACTAGCTCAAATGCAAAATTTACAAAGGAAAGAAATTGAAGTTTTGCAAACAATTCAATAGAAACAACATCCTAAACTAGTCCTAACTACGCCCCGATGATACATATACTGTTACAGCATGCCCAAGAAATTCATTTAAATCATCAAGTATATTCATTTAAAGATAACATTGAATAACACAAGAAATTCACATCATTGCCAATTATAGATCACGAGAGAGAAGTAAAATAAGATTCACACTACACAAATATAATTTATCAAAGAGAGAAGTGTGACACCCTCTACCCCACATACATAATTATACAATAAATAGAAATAAATAAAATCCTTCATAAATAAAATTGAAGTCTCTAACCACACGAGTAAAAAGCTCACATTCATAAATCATAAATCCTAGTTTAATGTAGAAATTACAAAAGAATAAAAACAAGGTTATAATATCCTAAATTTCAGATACAATATTCTCAATTTTATTATTATTATATTATTCTTAAAATGGTAATTTAAATTTCTATTTATTTTATTTTAAAAACAAATAGAAGAATAAGTACAATGTTTTATATAATTACAATACATTAAAATTTTCATTACCAAATTTTCAGTAAACTAAAATGGAATTATATTTATTTCCAATTTTATTATCATTATCTTATTTTAATAGTTTAAACTTTTAGTTAACATATTTAAAAAATGAATACAAATTAAGTATAAAGTTTTTTTTTACTTCAATTTTAGTGAACTAAAATGGAATTGGATAATATATAATTACATTATAAAATTATAAAATTTTATTCATAATATTTGATTTTATTATAAAAATTTAAAAATCTTATTAAAATATTTTTCAGAATAAAATTTTAAATTTTAAATGTCTAATATAAGTAATTATATTAAATTTTTAATTATATATATATTATAAAAAGTTATATATGCTTATGAATATATTAACTACGTAAACTAATTTAAATATATATATATATATAGAGAGAGATATTGTGTTTTTAATAACATGCAGATAAGGTCGTAAGAAAATCTATTCAAATTTGACACAAAGATTCTTATATATCCATTAGTAACGAGAGTCTTTAATTGTAACGACCCGCCATAGTCTCTACACTTAGTGGAATCACACTACTATTAGTGAACTAAGAGAAATATTGAATGTGACAACTCATACATACAGGGTATATAAAATATAATAATAACTAAGTTTCTAAATACAAATTATAACACTATATATATTACAGTCATCCAAAATAATATTCCCTAGTGTCAGTCAAACACAAACAACAGTTATTCCAGTAGGTAACCCTAACACTAGGACAAAACTCCTCATCGAGCAGTGGACCTCAACTCTAAGCTAGCCCTAATCTGCTCCCATACAAAGTATGATCATCACAGTCCATCCACATGGAAATAGAAGGGTAAGCTAGAGTTCAATAAACAACCATACAAGTATGGAACAATAATCTATACTACACATTCATCCAATCATGTTCATAGAACCACACCATACACTCAATCCAAATCTACTCATGCATAAAACGCAACACACCAATCATGAAGTCAAACACCATACACTTCATCACAACAACATTCATGCAATTAAGCAACACATGAAAGATATCAAATGCATATCTATCATCTAATGTGTCGTCACGCATACACCTAAGAGATCTCCCTAACAACAGAGCAGTAAGTGACATCTCAATCCTACCGAAACCACCCCAACCGTTTACACGCCCAATGCGCCCGCTCGGTCACAGCTAAATAAGATATATATCCTCACTCGGGTTTACTCGGATGATATCACTTACACAATTGGAAGTCCGGTTCCATCGTCAGGTATGACACAGCTAGGTACAGGCTTACCACGACCTTGGAATGCATTACCAATTCACTTGTGGTGTTCACCCACCGACTAATTATAAGGAGCCACGCACCTTCCCCAGTACTTGGTTAAGGGAATAATCCTCGACCTCATACTCCACACAACACTAGCTAATGACTTAGAGGAGCCTCACCCAAACTAGTGGCCTACCTGAGCACCACTCTCACCCAAGACTAGTGGCCTACTTGAGCACCACTCTCATTCAGTAGCCTATCCAAGCACCACTCTCAAGAGACTTTATGTGAGCTCTTCCAGTTCGAAAGCATTTTCCCTCTCCTCAAGTCCTAGGCTAGACACATGCCATAAGGCATCACATGCAATAATGCATCATACATCATACATGGTCTATCCATCATCATGATCAATATCATCCTCATATGAACATATACACATGTCATATCATATTCAAACATTCATACATATCATTACCAAGCATACATATGAATCATACACCTGAAATCCAGCAAACCCAGCGACATGCAAACACAAAAAAAAACGCAATGCATAGGCTCCATACAATTCAAAAATAAGTTAAAAATCAGCATGCATTCATCCGATTCAACAAAATCACCAAAATTCCTATTTTTCCCAAAATGTGACACCCTTACTACCCCAACACATATCTTGTAATAATGTAAACACAACTAACGAATAAATTTTTAAACGTTGGTAAAAAGGGTTCACATAAAATCTTCATAATTGTTCTTCAATATCCAAAATAATTGAAAATAAAACTTGGAAAATAAAACCTAAGAGTTTACAAATTGTTTTCAAAATAATAAATACAGCTCCAAATCCATATAAAAATCCATGTCCTAGAAATTGTCTGCCCTGATGTCACAATATCATAGCATACCCACAATTCAACTGTTGGCATTCTAGATGTCACTTATAGCTGGATCTTCTTGACCTAAAACATCCACAATTTGTACGGTTAGAAAAGAAAACATCTTATATGTAAGCACACAAGGAAAATCCATAACATAATTTCATCATAACTCATTACTTAATGAAATATTCACAAGCATTTCTATATATCATAACTCTAATAGTATCTTCTAATGAAAATGATTTACAAATCTCATAATTTCATTTGTAATTGACATATTTAATTTTTTATTTTTGGATAATTTGATAAATTAATAAAATTAATTGTACACATGTCCATTAAGAATTATCTTTCTTTTTTTTATTTTTTTGTATCTCAGTGACTTTTATTTTCTTGGAATTGAATTATTTTTTTTGAATATAATTTTCAAATCTCTTAATTATTCTGGTGATAATTTTGTAACTGAAATATTTTTATTTTTAAATTTTAGTTAAGATACATTGGATAAAATAAAAAAAATGAAATAGTACAAAAATTGAAGATAAAAATAGTTTAATTATTTTATTTTCCATATAATAGAATTGTCTTTTAGTGAAAAGAGCTTCCTTGTTTTTTTCATTCTTGGATTGTGCCGACTTTTTTCCATTCTTCGATATGGCACAACCCCTGGGTAAGTGATGCTACAGGGAGGGCGTGACCCTGACATGGTGTTGGGTGAGTGAGGCAATTAACTCGTATCACTTATGTCAGTTGTGGTGTGGCCTTGGCATAGTGTTAATTGTAAGATTTGTGTGAATTATGAATATGAAAATGATAATGTTAATTGCAAGATTTGAGATGAATGGGTGTGATTGTGAATTATGATGTGAAAATGATGCATGATTGATAGAGTTATGATATATAGAAATGCTTGTAAATATTTCATTATGTAATGAGATTACATTGTTGTGTGTTTGTATGTGTTTTACATATAGATGTTTTCTTTTCTCACCGTACAAATTGTGGATGTTTTAGGTGAGGAAGATCTGGCTACGAGTGACATCTAGAATGCCAACAGTTGAATTGTGGGTATGCTATGATATTGTGACATCGGGGCAGAGGATTTTTAGGACATAGATTTTTATATGGATTTGGAATTGTATATATTATTTTGAAAACAATTTGTAAACTCTTGTGTTTCATTTTCTAAATTTTTATTATTATGGTTATTGAAGAACAATTTTGAAGTTTCTCATGTGAACCCTTTTACCGAAATTGAAAGATTTATTTGTAAGTTTTCATTATTACAATATATGTGTTGGGGTAGTAAGGGTGTCACATTTAGTGGTATTAGAGCAGGTCGATCCAATCGGCCATGAGTTATGAGTCTACTATGCTTGTTTGGTAGATGAACGATGAAATGAATTATGAAACTTATTGATGTGCTAATGATGAATGACTAACTGCCTATAAGACACCTCTTGGACTGTCACCATTTCAGATGGTTTATGGTAAAGCATGTCACTTGCCGGTTGAGATGGAACATAAGGCATACTGGGCTATCAGGTTCTTGAATTTTGATCCAACCCAATCAGTTGAGAAGAGACAATTACAGCTGAATGAATTGGAAGAATTGCGCCTCAATGCTTACGAGTCAGCTAAGCACTACAAGGAAAGGACAAAGTTGTATCATGACCGGAAGATTCTAAAGCGAGAGTTTCATCCGGGACAACTTGTGCTCCTTTACAACTCCCGGTTGAGACTCTTTCCAGGGAAGCTGAAGTCAAAATGGTCAGGGCCATTCAGAGTTAAGCAAGTTAAGCCTCATGGAGCAATACAAGTGGAGGATGTTTCCTCCAAGGAGTGCTGGGTAGTAAATGGCCAAAGACTTAAACTCTACTTGGGCGGCGAAATTGAGCGAGCTTATTCCACCATTGCATTGGAGAACCCCTGAAGCTTTGGTTTGTCAAGCTAGTGACAGAAAACGAGCGCTTTATGGGAGGCAACCCATCATTTCTAATCCAAAAACAAGTTAGCATGCCTTTAAATTCAGTTATTTTGTGTTAGTGTGTTCTAGGTGTAGGTGCATGGTTAATCATTGTGTTTGCTTCTTAGTCGAGAAAGCATTATGATTGTGAGGGCTTGAGGGACTTCATGTTGAGCTATGCTTGAAAAACTTGAAAATTTGTAGAAAAATTGAAATCCACGCTCAGCATGAAGTTCCAAGCTAAGCTATATCAGTGCAGAGGTAGAAAATAGCTCTCTAGAGGTGCCACGCTAAGCGCCAATCCCACGCTTAGCCTCAGAACTTAAACTTGAAAACTGGGAGTTCTCTCTGGAACCCCCACGCTAAGCCCCAGTCCCACGCTTAGCCTGGAGTTCCTTTTTCATTAAATGCTGTCACACTCTCTCTCCAGACACTTATTTTTTCCCTCTACCACTCCTCAACCTCTCACAAACACTTTCAAACCCTAAGTCTCTTTCTTTGCTTCCTTGGCCATGTTGCTCTTGGTGTGGGTAGGCTCCATTTTCTCTCCTCTTGTTTATTTTTAGATTTAATTTAGTCTCATTTTTTATGATTAAATTGAACATTTTAAAAATAATAAGATCAAATTAAATATTTTAAATAATTTAATTTGATAAATTAAATATTCTTTTTAATATTCTTTTTATCAAATTTTATTAATATTGTTAATGACAATTTAAACTGAAAGATAACTTATTCTGAATTATAATATATGTAACTTGCTCTAAGTGGAGGATTTATCCTAAATTATAATATATGTAAGTGAATGAGTATGAAATTAGACATAATTTGAAGAGATAAATAAGTTTTAGACTTTTTGGATCGCGACCTGTTGAAAGATTCTGAAAAAGAAAAATACTTATTTTGAAAAATTTTATTTGTTCAGCCCAAGCGTCTTTAGAACTATTACTACTTAAAGCTTCTCTTTCACTTTCTTTTTTTCTCTTCTATTTTTTTTTCCTATTGCATTTTTAGTGAGATTTTGTAGTTTATTTATTATTTTATTGTACTGTATATGAGGATTAGTCGTGTAAGAAAAAAGCAAAAATATCTTCCATGTCTAAATTCTAATGGTTTCACAAGATTGATTATAAACTTATGTTCTGGCCAGCTTTTGTCTATTTTTATGCTTTATATTAATTTACATGAAAATTCATTAAAAACATGTATATTTTTTTTTTAATAGATGTTTGCTGGCATAAATTTAAAGTAAGAAATGTTTGTTTTATTATTTACTAACACTTTTGTATTTATTTTTTTTTTATGGACGACAAAAGGAAAGAAACATGACAAATGAAAATGCTTGGACAAATGTTGTATAGTTTTGGGTTTGTTCCTGCATAATGCAAACTGTGTTAATTTGCCTTATGATCAATCTATGAAAGGTTTAACCCGATTAACTCATGATGACACAGCAATATCCCTTTTAAGTCTTGAGGAAGCTTGTCTCAAGTTTTTAGTACCCATAATATGGACCTTAATGATTAGTTTGAACAGCATTTTCAATGTCATGTATAGTTCAGCAATTGCCTATTTGTGTGGGCTCAAACATAATGTTTGGACTTTCTATATTGTGTTACATATCATCTTTAAATGATAAGATGTTTGGACTTGGTGTTGAGGCGGGTCCAATTAAAATTCCAGCCCTTTTGGTTGTGTGTGGTGGAGTCATTGTCCTATATTGTTCCTTATTAGCTTCATAATCATGGGAATTAAGTTGGTTAAACTTACTATATCTTTGTTTCAAATAAAGTTGGACACCTAGCATAACAGCCATTGTTTAAGAGAAGTAGGAGTAAATTTTTCAGTATATTGATGTAATCTTGTGGAAGTTTGTCCACTCCATTTAAACACTTGTTGGAAATATTAATTGTTGAGATTCTCTTTTATTATTTTCAGTTATTGTTATCCTTAAATTCTGCTTCAGAAAAAGGTGCCTACATTAACCTAATGAGAAGTTGGGAAAAAAAATTTCAAATGTCAATTTTATTGTGGAAGACTAGTTTAAGAAACTAATTATGGTACAGAAAACTTAATTACAAAATTCCAACTTTACAATATATATATATATATATTTGGAGGGATCAAATAACTTCATAACTCATGATAAAGTTATTTCACTTAATAACTCGTGGTGTATATTAAATTGCAATGATCCAGCTATTATATATATATATATATATATGAGAAGTGAAAAAAAAAATACATGAGCATAAAATATTCAAGAGAAGAAAATTTCATCGAGGTGAAATTGAAATAAAACCATAACATTCGCACCAGAGTTTAGAGATACATAAAAATGCCTCTTAAACCCTTTTTGATGTATCGAGTGCTATTTTGTGTAGACCTTTTTTTATTTTTTATTTTTGTTTTTACCTATACATGATATGTTTCTTTGCTTACAAGGCTCATAAGTTTTTCTTATGTTCTCTCAAACATAAATAAGACACATGTTGCATTTTGGTATTGTTTACTTAACACAGATCTATTTCATTAGTCTTATAAAAACTCTTATTTTATTTCACGCACGCACATATTAGTTAATTTACAAATACAAACCAATAACATTAAGGTTATTTTCTGGAGACTACTGTTTGGAAACAATTGTTACCATATTCAGAAAAGTGCAAAAGAGGTGGTTGATAAACTTGTAGGTTTAGGAGCCTGTAATCAACTCCAGTTGTAACAGCACCGAACTCCTTTGTTGGAAACTCTTAACACTTTCTTTTGTGACTTAGTCTATATGAGTTAATTTTACGTTGTCGTTTTTTATTGGCTTTGGGCCTTAATAAACAATTTTTTTCAAATATTTTCATAAATAAATTGTTTAAAAAATAATTTATCCAAATAAATTGTTTTTGCCATGTGAACATATACAAGCAAAACATTAACAATGGTAATGATTTAAGTTTACAAAGAAAACGTCAATGGCTTTGACATTTTTAGTGTATGTAAAAATTGCACAGAGTCATTACGACTTCTATTTTTTCTGAAGACATCAATACCTGTAATGTTTTTAGTGTTTTCAATATTCTTCTAAAAACGTAAGTACCTACGATGTTTTCAGTTCTTTTCCACTTCACATTTTCTTACTCCAACGCCCTGCTGAAGCGATTGCTACCGTAGTTCTACCGGATATCACCAATTTATGAACCCCAAAAGTGTCGAATAGATTTATGAAGCACTAAGTGATTTTGCTCCAGACACAATATGTTTTGAGTTTTGAGTTTATTGAGTTGAAGGTTTAAGGTTTAATATTAGGTTATAGTTATAGTGTAATAGTCTTAATAAATGTAAATATTTTTTTTGTTATAATATTATTTATTGCTAATAATAGTGTAATAGGCTTTAAAAACATTTGTTGCTAATAATTTATTAAAAAAAAATTGTAATTAATTTGTATTTAAAATAATTAGGTTCTATATTAATTTATTTATTTTTATCTTTTAATAGAAAGACATAAAATATATAGGTTTATTTAGTGCAATGAAAATAATTATTTGAATTTTTTAAATGATTAAATATGTTGATTATTTTGAATAGGATATTTATTTGAACACACAATTATTATCCAACTTAAGAATTTCATTAGTAAAATATATAGAATTTATATACATGACTAAATATTATGACTAAGATTTTAGATACACATTAATGATTATCATTGATATTTGATGCTAGTTGAGGATTATTTGTTCTATTATGAGTTTCAACCCTACAATGTCCACAATGTTGTTTTCGTTGAGACTATATATCCAATTCATTTCATTTTTTATATGGGTTGACTTTGGACATCCATGCACCATAGTTAGAGCTGTCAAAACAGGCCAATCCAGCCCATGTGGGCCGGCCCACCTTGACCCACTTTAAAAATGAGCCAACCCAACCTGGTCCACTTGTAATTTTCTAAAAAAAAATTGGCCCGGCCCGGCTCACCACAGGTTGGTGGGTTATACGGGCCAGCCCACCAGCCCACCAAAAATTAAAAAAAAAATTATCAACAAAATTCAAAATTTTAAATTAATTATAAATTAACATAATAGTCATAAAATTAATATCATTAATAGTCATAAGTCATAATTCATCTTACAAAATTAAATACAAATCATGATAAAAGTCTAAAATAAAAATTTTCAATATACTATCATACAAAATTAACTACAAATCATACTTAAATTTTTATTACAAAAAAAATGGTGGGTTGGTGGGCCACCCGGCCCACCACGAGTTTAGCCTGGGTGGGTCGAGTCAAAGTGGGTCGGGTTGAGATATACTCACCTACTATAAAATTTTAAATTTTTTTGACCCGGCCCGGCCCGTTTTCAAGGTGGGCCGGGTTGGCCCATGGGTCCCAGCCCACTTTGACAGCTCTAACCATAGTTTGATTAGGGACAATGCGAGATCCATTGGTAGGACAAATGTTGTCATCACTACCAAGTGGGTACCATTGCTCAAAATATGCCTATTTAATATATGCATTTGAATAGGCAACATCAACATAGTTCAAGGGATCTACGTGAATATAAGCACATGCGACAATGACATGTGAGGATGTATATCTATAAGCTTAGAAAACATTACATTCACATTTTTGTTCATTAAGAATTATTGTCCAAGTATGACCACCTCTTTGTCTAATTAGATTGAAAGCTTCTTCCACTTCAAATATGTTGGCCTCATAAACAATCTTCGAACGAAATGAGATGTTGCCTCCTCTTAATTGTTCTACATAGCATCCATTAACTTTTAACAATATCATTGACCAACCGCAATCTCTGCGTTTGCTTGACCTAACATTTGCGCAAAATACTCAGTAATCTATTTTACAATTTACACAAATTGTTTTTGTTTGACTAGTAAAAATACAACCTTGATGATTGTTAATTTTACTATCATTATAATCCAGTAAGCAAATGAAAGACATTTTT